TTTTAGCTATTACAAACTGTGCTGCTATAAACATGGGTGAACATATATTGCTGTGGTATGATTCTTTTAATTCTTTTGGGAAGATACCCAATAGAGGAATAGCTGTGTCAAATGGGACTTCCAGTCCTAGTTCTTTGAGGCATCTCCATATTGATTTCCACAGTGGTTGCACCAGTCTGCCCTCCCATCAACAATGGAGCAGGGTTCCTCTTTCCCCACAGCCCCGCCAGCATTTGTTATTGGTTGATTTCCTAATAGCAGCCATTCTTTCTGGGGTGAGGTGGAATCTCAGTGTTGTTTTCATCTGTACCTCTCGAATGACCAGCAATACTGAACATTTTTTCATATGTTTATTTCCTGCTTTTACTTCTTTGCCTGAGAAATGTCTGTTCATTTCAGATGAGCAAGATCCACTTTTGATCCACCTAAATTTCATATTCTCTACTCCTAACCCCCAGTGTGCTATGTAGTGTAGATTAGACTTGGGCATAAGAATCCTTTAAGAGATTTTTCAAGCAATTCTAATTTACCTCCAGCCAAAAATCACTTGTCTCCTAGACCAATATTTCTTGACTAATGAAACTCTGGTAAGAAACCTTTTTAGACATTTTCCTAATTACAACCCCCATGAAATCCGTACCACAGATAAACTGTGTATCTCTTGATGTGCTATATGAATATCTGTGCTGCCTACATAAAAACAGCCATGCATGATGGTACACGCCTATAATCTCAACACTCTGGGAGCCTGAGGCAGGAGGATTGAATTTTAAGCCCAGCCTGGACAACTTACTGACTCAGTCAGTGTTAATCTGTCTCAGAATAAAACATTGTAGGAGCTGGGGATGTAGCTCAGTGCAAAGGCTCTGAGTTCAATCCCCAGTACCACAAAAATAAATAAGTGGGTAAATGAACAGATGGATGAGTAAATAATAAAAAACAGTAAGCTTTGTTTTTGCTCCCAAGGGTCACTTTTATGGTCCCCATCAAGAACGCATGGTCTTGCTGGGGATTTAGCTCAGTGGTTCCACCGCCTGCTTTGCAAGCACAGGGTCCTGAGTTTTAGCCCCAGTAACCCCCCCCCCCCAAAAAAAAGAAAGAATGCATGGTCTAGAGCAGCGGTGGTGAACCTGTGACACGTGCCATACCTGGCTCTTGTTATCTCTGAAAGCTCTAAAAGATTCACTGTCATTGGTCTAGAGCTTTCTAGTGTGAGAACTGTAAAAAGCAGGCTGGTGTGGATGTATATTCCCAAAGTAGGAAGACAGAATGTCACGTGTGTGTTGGCCGTGGGTATAAGTCACACCTCGCCTGTCTTCGTTCCTCTTCTCTCGTCATTTAAGCTCATCTTCTCCGCCATTTCTCAGCATTTCCATTTGGTCCCCTCCTGACTGAAGCCTGTTTAGGTCCCTACCTCATTTCCTCTTCTTACACGTGACCCTGAGGAAAGTGGGCTGTTTTTGCTTCCTTTGTCATCAAATACTTGGCTCTCCATTTCTGCAAGTTGTGCATATTTCACCGACAAACATCAGAAATATTTGCCAGGCCCGGGGCGGGGTGGGGGGATTACATCTGTACTGAATATGTAGAGACTTTTTCTCTTGACATTATTCCCTAACCGATCCATCGTAACAAGTATTTAGATAGCATTTACACTGCACAAAGTCCTATAAGGAGTCTAGAGATGATTTAAAGTATGTGGAAAGATGTATGGGGTCATGGGCAAATACTGCACCATTTTATGTAAAGGACTTGAACGTTGTAGATTGGGATACCACAGGGGGTCCTGGACCCAATCCCCCCAGATACCCAGGGGCAGCTGTGTTGCATCGCATCTTATTTCCACTGCAAACGCTTTTCTTGTTGTATGATCTTCTCCTTAGATATGGGGACATGAGAAAGGAAATCGGCTTTAGAATCCGGGACATGTGGTATAACCTGGGTGAGTGTCTGACCTGGAACAGGCCCCAGCACAATCCCTGTGTAATAAGCACCCGCAGGGATTTCTTCTTCTCCTTCGCATAACCCCGAGACTTCCTTGTATGTGTGTCTGGAAGCAAAAGTTAATTTGTGGGTTCCACACCCTCATCTCAGTTGGGACATTGACAATAAACCATCTGTTACTATGGCATCTCCACATCATCAGGATATAGTATTTCCTCACTCACCTCTGACTGAGGTGGTTTACCCACAGAAACCTTTTCTTATGGGCTCTGAGGAGGAAGATTATAACACTTTACTTCCAGTGAAGTGAATTTTAAATATTTTCCTTTACTTTCATTTCAGGTCCCCACAAAATCAAATTCATCCCATCCATGGTGGGTCCTATTCTGGAGGTCACTCTGACCCCAGAAGTGGAGCTCCGGAAAGCCACCATCCCCATTTTCTTTGACATGATGCAGTGTGAGTTCAATTTCAGTGGAAATGGCAATTTCCATATGGTAAGGAGCGGTGGGCTCTGTACTCTTATTAATGCACATGTAGCCAACTCTTCCTTATTTTCTTTTTGTACAGAGCAGCAGTAGCTCAAATAATACAAATCAACTTTGATGTAAAAATTCCCTTTTACATTTCATTTTGTAAAGCAATTAGAGATATAATCAGATATTCCAGCCCAGAGCCGGAAGCAATCTTTTTGCTCCATGTTTTTCTAAACTTTGTCTCCAGATGATGGACAGTTGACTGTGAGCTTTTGATGTTGTGAAATGAGGGAATGAACCTGTCTGCTCTAGGAAGCTGAGAGAAGGGTAGACTGGATCCAGCTCTGATCTATCACTTTCCAGCTTGGAAGACTTTAGTTTGCCAGAATTTTCTCTGTGCCTCAATTTCCTTGTCTACAAAATGCATTCATATTGAGACGATTTCGTAGCTATGAAGCTCAGCGAAAGCAATCCCATTGCTAAGACTAAGAGACAAAAATAATAGAAATAATTAAATCATTAAGCTACTTTTATATGCACAGTTATAACAAAGTAACACTTCAGGTTTGTGGTTGTCTTGTGTTGGGTTCTTGCAAGGGCAAAGCAAAGGGCAGAGTCACAGCAGACTGCTGCAGAACACTTTGACGGGGCCTTGGTGCGCTGGCCTTGAGTGATGGAAAGCGGGCACCTCCCCCATCTGTGCGGCAAAGAGTTGACGATTCACTGGAGGGGTTGGGCTAGACTGGGAAAGATTGCGTGGGTGTCTCTCGTGTCCTCTGCTAAGGAGGCACCGTCTGCCTGGCCCGTGAAATCCTTGCTCTGCTTTCAGTTTGAGAATGAGTTGATCACAAAGCTGGACCAAGAGGTGGAAGGAGGCCGGGGAGATGAGCAGTACAAGGTCCTTCTGGAGAAGCTGTGAGTAACCCTGAGACGAGCCCGAACCGGCGGTGCCCTTGAGCCGTGGGAGGGAGGACGGTCGGCGTCCAGCGCAGCGGGCAGGAGGCCTCGGCGGGGTTCATGGGCTTTGCAGCACCCATCGCCGATGCTCTCTACCTGGTGTGAGTCAGACGCCTGTGTTTTCCTGGCCCCTGGGCCCTGGAGGACCGAGCAGATGGAGAAGAGGAGACGTGCAGAGCAGTGGCATTTTGCCCAGTGTTTGAATTTCTGAACTTCAGCAAGAGTTAGCACCTCTAATTATGGCTTCAAAGCAACCATTTAAAGGAAAATCATTTCAAGGTCCACTTTATATTTAAAAATACCTCATGTCCCATGAAAGACCTCTGAGAACAAAGCGGTTCTGTCTCCAGCCAGCTGGACTTCCCAGGGCCCTGGCCCCTGCCCTGGGCGGTGCCTCCACTCCTGCGCCTCCCCCGCTCCCTCCCGCCCGCTCCGTTCTCCCCTGCACCTGTCCCAGAAGGGTAAAGGGAGGGGAGTGGCTCGGAACCCACCACGTGCTGGTGTAGACTGAGCTTCAACTCGAGTTTTCCCTGCGTGCTAGGAGTCTGACTTTGCATCCAGTGATTCCAGCTACTCAGCAGCTGCTTTTTTTCCATCTACAAGAAAAGTATCTGTTTTTTTTAATGTCGTTACGATTTAATGAGATGTTATACCAACATGGTGTACACTGCAGAGTTCATGCTTTAAAAAACGTTGGTTGCTCTGTTATTATTCTTTACAAATCTCTCATCATTCACTGGGAACATAACGACTCGAGGTCCTGTCTCCTGGGTGTTCTGAACTTTACAATACTGACCGGCTGTATCGTCCTCTGACAATTCATCTGGTTCTGTTATTCACCTGTTTTGTGGACTAGACTGAGGACAGCGACTCCCAAGTTTTGTTTTGTTTTGTTTTTTGCTTTTCTAAGATGCCCTAAGAAACCAGCCCTCCAAATACTCAGAAATACAGTGGAATTGATGAAGAGCCTATATTTGACAGAACATGAAGTTTTTGTGATTTTGTTTTTAATGACGTTAAGCCCTTTTGGTAAGGTTTTTATCCCCCCGACCCTGAGACCCCCAGTTTATGACAAAAGCTGTTCTGATCCGATATGGAATTAAACAGGCAACTTATGCACATATAGAGACACATACACAATATTTACACATGATAAATTCCTCCTTTTTAAAAACTTCTACAGCTTATTTTTCATGTAAAGATCTTACTTTTTTCTCTGTGTTCTTTCGGGATTATTGGTTCAGAAAAGTATGACTACACAAATCTCCAATGCCAAGAATAACCCTAGAGCCTGCACTAATTCTTTGGACCCATTTCTTTCTCTTTTTTCTTCTTCTGAAGTTTTCTTTTAATCATCCACTCTAAGAAGCTCCTGTGCTCTGCTCCACAAAGTTCTTATATATAGACCCAAAGGGAAAAGATTAGACCACAAGTTTAGCCCTCGTCTACTTATTTACAACTCTGTGTTTCTATCTTTAAAAAACAAAGTCTTTTCTTGGAAGAACCATGTGTCTTGGGGCCGGGGATTTAGCTCAGTGGTTTTGACGCCTGCTGCGCAAGCGCAAGGACCCAAGTTCGATCCCTGGTACCTGGTACCAAAAAAAAAAAAAGAGCTATGTGTCTTGATGTCCACTGGTTTACTCTGGGCTCTATACCAGCCCAGGCTTCCCAGAATGCCCATGAGATGCCAGGCTTCACGGAGAATTAAGGTGCAGGAAAGATGGTCTTACAGCCTAGTTACAGTCACCACACGGCATGCATGAGCCTTCTAGACACAGGTCCTTATTTCTGTGCTGTCCAGTGAAAAAACCACAGATACAAACTGACCTTCACAGAAGGACATGGTGGGCTGGGAGTTGAGCCAAGTCCTAATGAAAATGTTGATGTTTGGGGAACAGAGAGGCACAGCCTGAGGAAAGGCACCTAGATAGAGCAGGTTCTGCAGAGGGTGTTTGCATCCACTTAACTGACATGCTGTGTCATTGAGTCTCATGCCACCTGCTGCAGGGACTTTGGTTGGTGCTCACAAATGGTCCTGAAAGGCATTTGTCTACCTCAACCCCCTCCAGGCTCCTGGAACATTGCCGGAAACATAAGTACCTCTCTGGCTCTGGGGAAGTCTTCGCCCTCCTGGTCAGCAGCCTCTTAGAGAACCTGTTGGATTACAGAACCATCGTCATGCAGGATGAGAGCAAGGAGAACCGCATGAGCTGCACCGTGAATGTGCTGGTAGGTGCCCACCCTGCTGCCCACAGCACAGCACTAGTTCATCTCATGATGCATAGGCTCACTGGGTCACCTCTATGACCAAGTCTGTCCTGCTGAATCGTGTGCAGTGGCTAACTCAGCTGTGGACCCACAGGGGCCAGTGGGTGCAGACCTTGAAGTTAAATTTAGAAACAGGGAAAGAAAATGCAACATAAGCACCCAATTCAACCCTTCCAAAGACCCTCCTCAACCTGTGCCTGTTTTCCTAATAATGTGGTGGTTGCTTTACTGCTGGAATGACAGACAGACAGAACCTCTGTTCCATGCAGCATTAGTCTGTGGCATCCTCATGAAGGTAGAATTCTTTGGTCCTGCCCTTCCCTGGGAATGCATTACCTGGCACCACACACCTCTGAGGCTTAGGTGGCCCAGGACTCCTCTGCTCACTCTAAACTAAGAATCTATCTCCTTCCTGATTCCCCGAGGTAACAGTGTATCACGTGACTTCAGGGTGACCTTGGAGTCTAGAAGTGTGGTCCTTAAAAAAAAGTTCTTAACTTACCTTCTTTATAACCCATCACTGTCTTGTCTCGGAGAATTTAGTAAAGGAAATGATGAACTCTTTGGAAAAGACATTGTTGAAAAGCCATTTTTGTTAACAGCCCTTAATTTATGTTCTTACTTTGTGATTTTTTTTTTTGCAGAATTTTTATAAAGAAAAGAAGCGAGAAGACATATACATCAGGTAAGCTGAAGGAAACAAAATGCTTCAGCTATTGATGTCATGGTTTTGTGATTTTGTCCCTCAACAAGAAGCATATGGTGTGACGCCATGCCTGCTGTTTTGAGAGACTCCACTTCTCCTCAAAAATGAACTCTTGCAGAAAGAAACACAAATAACTAAATTTGAGTGAGTGCATAAGTCAGGTCCTGGTAGGGTTGAAGGAGAGATAGGAGATTCTGCCCAGTAACCAGGACAGACAGCCCTGCAGGGAACAGGTGTAAGAATTCACCTACCTTGGAGGCTTTGCCTGGAGCCCTGAATCCCTGAAGGAAAACAGTGGTGCATAAATTATGCACACTCTTGGGACGGGATTCTACAACTTTCACCTGCTTCCCAAAGAGCACCGGGACCCAAAACATAGCTATGTACCACTCCCCAATGAAAGATGAGGAGGAATAAATGGAGTAGGAAAGTCACAGGGTGAAAAGCAGCTTGATAGAAATACGAGATGGGAAATGACCGACTCTTTTTCCCGAAAAGAAATGATCCTGTACAGTCGTAGAGGAGGATTTAGGGCAGCAGGGTGGGGACTGGTTGTGGCATGAGCTGAATGCTAGATCCATTTCTGGGTTGACAAAGCGCCTCCCATCTCCCCCTTTTATCAGATATTTATACAAGCTTCGAGATCTGCACCGAGACTGTGAGAACTACACAGAAGCTGCCTACACACTGCTCTTACATGCAGAGCTCCTGCAGGTAGGTGGGGGCGAGCCTATGTGGACAGAGTGCAAAGCCCAGTGCAGAAGTCCTGACCCTGTCGTCCTCCATGCTGGACATTGGATGATGGGAGGAGAAAGTACCTTGAAGAAGGCAGATCCTTGATCTAAAGACATTTTTATACCTTCTGAATAAGCATGGCTACTTTTCAGACCAAGGCTGGGGAAATGTCATTTATCATGTACTTGAAAAGCCTTAGGAAGCAGAGCGTGGCTAAGAGATGTCTGGCCATTGACATTCTACTAGAGAAAGAAAACACATCAATTCATATACAAAAAGATGTGTAAAACTGCAGAGATGAATTATAAATTATTAAAGTACCATAGAAGTACTTTCCTATTTATACTCTCTCCCTAAGTAAAATTATACTGTGGCATGATATAAATACATCTATACATCACAAATTGCAAATAATTATTTCCAGCTCTGACCACCTCTCTAACTTTGGATTTATGCATAAGCTTTTTTTTTTTTTTTTTTTTTTGGTATGGGGATCAAACTTGGGTCCTTGCGCTTGCAGGACAGGTGGCAGAACCACCAAGCTAAATCCCCGGCCCCTTGCATAAGCTTTTGACGTTCGTCTTTGAATGAGTAAGATTGACCCTTACCATGTCAGTATCAGAGCCCTTTATTTCCCCCTCCTTTCTTCCCCTTCCCAGCTGTTCCTACCTCTTTTTTCTTATCATGCCACTAAATGGCTCCACCCTCTGCAGTTGCTCAGGCAACGACCTCATAGGCATCTTTGATTCTTTTCTTCTTGGCACTGCCTTTCGTATCCTCCCTGAAAAGTGTAGGGGTTCCAGTGACCCCCGGAACGTCCCATTAATCTGCCCACTTCGTTTTTCTTCCTTGTGCCCCCTGGCCCTAGCCACCAGCATGTCTCCCTTTTTACTATACTGGCCTCCTTTCTTTTTTTTTTTTTCCATTTAGTTTATTGGTACATTTTAGGTATACAGTACAGTTACATTCATCATTGGGATCTTGTACCTGTACATGATGCATCTTGGTTCTTATTTTTTTCCCCTTCCCCTGCCCTCCCTTCACCCCCTCCACCCTTCCCTATTTACAAAGACTTTGTTTCCGTGTTTTTCCTTTTCTCATATTTTTTCTTTTCCCTTCTTTCCTTTCCCCTACCCCTGTCACTTTCCCCTACTCCTTTACACCTTTTCTTCCTATTTCGCATTATCTATTATACCTTTTAGTCCTTATTTACACTTTTACTTTTTCACACCAGATAAACGATTCGGTATTTACACGTGTGTCCTATTTATTTCACTTAAGAGTATGGCCTCTTTCTGCATCCACTTAGCTATAAATGTCTCTAGTTTCTCATTCTTTATGGCTGAGTAGTACTCCATTTTATTAAAAAAACCAGATCTTCTTTATCCAGTCTCCAGTTGATGGGCACTTGGGCTGTTTCCAAGCTTTAGCTATTATGAACTGTGCCGCTATAAACATAGGTGCACATATATCCCTGTGGTATGATTCTTTTAATTCTTTGGGGAAGATCCCCAACAGGGGAATAGCTGGGTCAAATCGGACTTCTAATCCTAGTTGTTCGAGGTATCTCCATATTGATTTCCACAGTGCTTGCACCAGTCTGCATCCCATCAACAATGGAAAAGGGTTCCTTTTTCCCCACAGCCCCGCTAGCATTTGTTATTGGTTGATTTCATGATAGAAGCCATTCTTTCTGGGATGAGGTGGAATCTCGGCATTGTTTTCATCTGGATCTTTCGAATGACCGATGATGTTGCACATTTTTTCATGTGTTTATTTGCTGTTTCTACTTCTTTGTCTGAGAAATGTCTGTTAATTTCAGATGCCCATATTTGGATTGGGTCTTTGTATTTGGGGGGGGTCTGATTTTTTTCAATTCTTTATATATTCTAGATAGTAGACCTTTGTCTGAGAAACAGCTGGTAAAAGTTTTTTTCCCACCTTGTAGGTTGTCTCTTAGCTCTGTTGGTGATTTCTCTTGCAATGCAAAAGCTTTTTAATAAGATGAGGCGCAAGTTGTTGATTCTTTCTGCTAGAGCCCGTGCTACTGAGGATTTGTTCATAAAGTCCTTTCCTATGCCAGTGTCTTCAAGAGTTCTACCTAACTTATCTTCCAGCAAGTTTAGTGTTTCTGTTTTAATATTTAGATCTTTAACCCACTTCGATCTTAGTTTAGTGCATGGTGATAGATAGGGGTCTAGTTTTAATCTCTGAAAGGTTGAAATCCAGTTTTTCCAACACCATTTTGGCCTCCATTCTTATCCCCACCAATTAATTTTGTTCTATAATTTAATTAACTGATGGGGCCGGGATTTAGCTCAGTAGTTCTGCCGCCTGCCTCGAAAGTGCAAGGTCCTGAGTTCGCTCCCTGGTACAAAAAAAAAAAGAGAGAGAGAGAATGAATTGGGTGTTACTCTAGAAAAGAAAAGAATCAAAGAGAGTAATTAACGGATTAATTATTTTATGGTGCTAGGAATCCAACCAAGAGTCTCAAGCGTACTAGACAAGCATTCTTCCACTGAGCTACAGTTTTATTTTATACTAAAGTAATGTGCACGCATTGTTCTAAGCTAGGAAACAAAGGAGTTCCCTGCCTCGCACCTCCCAGAGGAAATTCGTGGAAGTCACATTCAAGATCAGGACACTAGGGAACTAACCACACGTGGGTCAGTGGTGAGGCTTGTTAACTGGATTTCATCATAGGTTGGTCCAGAAGAAACCCTGGAGTCTCTAACCATAGATCTTTTCATTTGAGCTGCTCAGAAAGTTAAACTTCCCTATCCTGGTGTAAGGTATGAGGTGTTGATGCAGTTTTTTTCTGAAATAGCTACTCAACAGAAATGACATTTATGAAGTATAGTCCGTATTTTCCTTGCTGACCTGAGATCCTAGCTTATCATATAGGAAATTCGTGTGTTGGAGGTGGTTCTGTATATGTTTACATGGATCTCTCTCTTTTCATGTACCAGCACCATACTGTTTCAATGATTAGTTCTTTAGAGTATGTTTTATCATCTGCTTTTTTTTTCTCCAGTTTTTCTTCCTGCTCTTGTTTATTTTTCCATTTGAACTTCCAAATTGTGAAATTTATAAATTCCTTTAGTGAGAATTTACTTATTTATGAAATAGAGTTTTCTTACCAAAGCATCGTATGACTTCCCCTGTGTTTAGGTCTGCTCTTGTCCCCTCAATGATAGGTTCAGGTTACTTTTCATATTAGTTTTGCGTAAGCCTTGTGAGGTTGACTCTAGCATATCTTATCTGTTGCAGTTTCTTTTAGGTTGGGCATATTCTTCTATTCTGCTTGCTTATTTTATATCTGCAATCCATTTGCAAATCTATTACTCTTTGTTGTCCAGCTACTTAGTTCTCTTGTTGTATATACTAGTTTGTCAGTGGATGGCTTTGTACTGTGAGAAATACAACCGTGATTGCAAATAGGGATAGATTTACCTCCTTCTACCCATATTTGGTTAGACTTGTTGGTTTCATCTGGTTGTGTCAGTGGTTCCATCTTGACACTAGTCACGTTGTTTAGCAGTTTTCTGTTAGTTCTGATTATCCTGGGAATGTTGCGAGTCCTTGGCCATTTAGCATTGCACTTGTTTTGGAGCTAGTATGTTGTGTGTGTGTGTCTGTGTGTGTATGTGTGTATGTGTACAACTTTTTCATTTAGTAAAGAATTTAAATTACAATGTGGTTGAGTCAAATATAGATGCATATATATGTATTTCACTGATTTTTTGTCATAAATAAATATCTTTTAATGAATTTGATGCATTAATTGCTTGTATTCCTTTTGTCCTTTTTAGTGGTCCGACAAGCCCTGTATGCCCCATTTGCTGCAGAGGGACAGTTACTATGTTTATACTCAGCAGGAACTGAAAGAGAAGCTATACCAAGAAATCATATCGTACTTTGACAAAGGCAAAGTGAGTGGTGGTTTGTGTTTATACCAGGAGAAAGAAAAATGATTGTAATGGATGCAGTTCCAGTGCTGACCACCCAGTCAGTGCAGAGTTCACAGGTTAAATGAACCATACCCATTCAAGCCTCTCTCTGTTTTGATGAGATCCCCAGACCATACACACTTCTGACCAGTGGGCTATAAATCTGGGGGTTCCCACAACCCCCAGTAAGTAACAGAACACAGAAAAGTCCTGTCTTTAACAGTTATAGTTTTATTATAAGGGGCTCAAATCAGAACCAGCCATATGGAGAGGCACAGAGAGCCAGGTCTAGAAGGGTCAGAGACATAGAGGTCTTCTTCCTGTCCCTTGAACTTGGAGCATATGCCCTTCCTGGCCAATTGACATCCTCTACAGGCAAGGTGGCCTATAGTCCCAGATACTCAGGAGGCTGAGGCAGGAGTATCGCTTAAGGTCAGGAGTTGGAGAGCAGCTGGGACAATATAGTAAAACTCTCAACCCAGAAAAAAACAAGTTGATGACTTTGTTAACCAGGAAGCTCATCTGAGCCTCCAAATGCAGAAACATAGACATGATTGATTGAACTATTGGCTGCATCACTGAACTCAATCTCCAACCCCCTTCTCCTCCCTAGAGTAGTAGAGTAGTGGCTGGAAGCTGCAGCTCCCTGATTACCTGGCTGGTGTTTCTGGCCAGGTCCTTCCCCTTCCTGAGATTCCTAACATAAGCTTAGAGGGGTCCCGTCCTAGTCAGCCCATTAGTGTGGAGTCTAGTGTGGTGCCAGGAGCCCACCTGGAATAACAAAGACACTCCTGTCCCTGGATGAACTCCAGGGGCTTCTTCCCGAAAACTCAAGGCAAAGGCCAGGCCAGTTCTTTATTGTACAACAGTGACTCGTGACTTTTTATTTTCCCCTTGTGCATCTTTGAATTTGGGTATTTTTTATGAGTGAGAAAATAAATAGATACATTGGGCTTTGAAAGGCAGTAAAGATGCTTACCTTGAGGACACTTTAGTGAAGAATGGAAGGGGCAGGCCAAAGCCCCATGTTTTCATAAGCCTCATTTTAAAAAAAATTTGCTGGGGGCTAGGAGCATCACTTGCTATGCATTCTCCAGAGATCATTAGGAGAAACGGGGGCACACACCTCATTCACAGGTCACACTGGCCTGACACCAGAGGTTGGAGGTGGCAGGTGGCTTAAATGTCTATAGGAACAAGAAGGTAAAATAAATGTAGAAACTGAGCCAGGAAGTTGTGGCGTCTGTGGAAGCATATCCAGTGGAAAGCCTTTTAAATTACAAATGGAAAAACAAAAGGCAGAGGAAGATTGAGAGAGAAGAAAGAAAACTGTCATGCTAGCCAAACAAATCTCAGATTCAGCCTAGATAGTTCTTGTGAATGGTCTTCCAGCCTTTATATTTGTGTTATTAGTAGAATCGATCTAGCTAAATTACTGAATAGTAAATAAGGTAAATAATCACCCTAATTATCTATTCAGTGCTAATTACAGTTTTGGATGACTTTCAAGCTTTTTTTCTCCTAATTTAATTCTTTCTATAACCCTAATAATTAGATACTATCTTTGTTTTCTATGTAAATAACTTGAGGCCTAAACAGTAGGCATATTTCCTCAAACCTTTTAGTTTCTACACTGGATCTTAGCCAAAAGGCCAAAAAGCAATCAAACCTTTTAGTTTCTGAATGCTTTGTCCTCTTAAAAAATTACTTAGGATCCCAGAGCACTTTTGTTCGTATGGGCTCTATCTATTGGTATTTATACTCTTAGAAATAAAGGCAGAAAATTATAAATATTTACTTGCTAGTTCTTTTAACAATGACAAACCTATTACCTGTTGACATGGATCATATATATTTATGAAAAATTACTGTATTTACCCGAGGATTGCTATTATCAGTGGCACTCATTTTATAAACCTTTATGACTTCTAGGTTAGTGGAAGGAGCAGGATTCTCTTTTCTGCTTCTGTCTTCATTCCACTGTGGTGTCACACGTGGGGTGGCCTCTGAAATAATCACGAAGAAAAAATGATATTAGTATTATTATGAAAGTAGTTTTGATCTCATGGCTCCCTGAAAAAGGGTCTTGAGGACCCTCACCAACATGACACTCAAACTTTAAGATTTTGAGGTCTTTTGGCTTGAGGATGATCAGCCAGTAAAGTCTAGGCAGATATCCAATTTTGGATGATCAGCCAGTAAAGTCTATGCAGATATCCAAAACCAAAATACCCTGAAATCCGAAGCCCTTCTGGCCCCGGGCATTTGGGATGGGGTGCTCAGACTGTAGCATCCTTGGGGCTTCAGGAAAAAAGGATTTGTTGATGCACGAGGGCTGAAGCGTGTAGGGGAGACACTCAGACTCTTAGTCTGCCTGACTGCGGCCTGGGGCCCGGTGACCGCCCTGCCTGCCAGGTCTCACCCGGCTCTCTTTTCTCTGAAGATGTGGGAGAAGGCCATCAAACTGAGCAAGGAGTTGGCGGAGAACTACGAGAGCAAGATATTTGACTACGAGGGCCTTGGCAGCCTCCTGGTGAGTCTGGGCCCACAGGGGGTGCTGGGATGGGCGCTCGAGAAAACGTTCTTTTGTGGGTTAAGGAAAGTCAGGCTCCATGCTGCTCTTGCCAGTGCAGGAATAAGCTTGCCTGGAATGTAAAAAGAAGTATGTCCCAAAAGTTCTGATCTTGGTTCTCCAGATTCTCTTCCTGGGAAGGCTCCGGCCTGGAGGACAGGGCTGCCCCCAGGGGAGGTGGAGCGCTAAGCCTCAGAGGCCTTGACCACTCTCCTCAGCATACCTCAGGGCCCCACCCACCATGCCCTCCTCCCCAGGGTTGGTGCTTTTCCCGTGGATCCTGTGTTCCTGGCTCACGTCCTTTTTAACTCTCACACTTGTGCTGTGTTCGGCCCAGGAGCCCACATTTCAGATGCTTTCTGACACCTCTTGTTCTGACTAAGCAAGACTCTATCTCGAAATTTAAAAATAGAAAAGATGTTGGGAATATGCCTCTGCAAAGGCCCTGAGTTCAATCCCCAGTAGTGCATAGACACGTGGAAGAGAGGGAGGAAGGGAGGGAACATTCTGTGGCCCACGTCCTCCGGTCCCTGCTAACTCAGAGGTCCTACTCTACACAACTTGGTGAGCTATAAATGCTTCTGCCAGAGTCTGATTCTTTTTTTGCCTCCTTCCTTCTCCCTATGTCACTGGAGTGCTTGACTTTGACAGTTCCCTGAACCTATGTGTGACATCTGGCTGTAGGCACAGTTCAGCAGCTTAAAAACAATAAAGCAAAACAAAAATAGCCTTCTAGATGTCCAGCGGTGCCACGCACAATGGCGCACTTGGGAGGCTGAGGCAGGACAATTGCAAGTTCAAGGCTAGCCTGGGCAACCGAATGAGACCCTGTCTCAAAATAAAAATTTTAAAGGAATGGGGTGTCGCTCAGTGCTACAGTGCCTGCTTAGCATGTGTGAGGCAGTGGGTTCAATCCCTAATGCTGCCAAAAGAAAAAACATTAAAATAAAAAATATAGATGCCCAATGGAAGCCAGAGTTGTTGCTGCGTGAGGTGACATAGAGAGGTGTCATGAACGGGCAAGTCACCAACATGGTGGAGTGAACCTTTATTTGAGGAGCTATTTTTCCAGGGAACTTTGTGAAAAATTCATCATGTCCTGTAGCCCCAACCCAGCCTCACAGGCCTACATTCACGCAATCGTTTCCTAAGCTGAATTGAGCTGAGATGCTCGGCACGCGTTGCCCATCTAGGGACACAAGATTCTGCCATCTTTCACCAGATGAAATCCTCACAGGACCATAGCAGCCATTGTGGGGCAAGGGTTGAAAGCCCCCCGGGTCTGGCTACCAGTATTTGGCTTTCCTTAAGCCACAGCGCTTGTGAGGAATGACAGAATTAAAAGAGATAATGGGAGAACGGAAAGACAGAATGTCCTGGCCACCTCCCTGACTCGAGCAGCTGCGTCAGGGACTTCGCCTGGAAAGTCCCTCACCTTCTTTGGCCCTGTGTCTGTGGTAAGGTGCACCCGCCTTACGTGCATCTCAGAAAGCGCTTTCTGGCCCTGCAGGGGCTTTGAACTCCTCCTCCCAGAAACTGTGCAAGCCACGGCTTTCCCTTTCCCATCCCATGGAGCACCCTGCACACAGCACCCTGTGCAGCCTGTGGGTCGTGGCCTCTGTGCCAGGACCTGGGATCCAAAACCTCCAGGCCCACAAAGCATCACCCTCTGCCCAGGACACGTTCTATAAAGACCTTTTGTGTCTGTGGCACATGGGAATCAACATGGCAAACAGGCTGATTTTTTTTTTTTTTTAACAGCATCCTTGTAACCGCCTGGTGGAATGTCTTGTTTTGTTTTCCAGAAAAAAAGAGCCTCGTTTTATGAGAACATCATTAAGGCCATGAGGCCTCAGCCTGAATACTTCGCCGTGGGGTACTATGGACAAGGTTTTCCTTCTTTCCTGCGGGTGAGGAGCCTGAGGGTGGTCTCTGAGGCCGGGAGGCCGTGGCCTGAAGGAGGGGAGAGATCCACTGCTCTTGCAGATGGGCAACAGCACATGAGCAGCTGCTGCCCTTGGCCCTCACTGTGGGAAGTCAGGGCGGGATGCACTGCTGGCCTCTTCACCCTGCACCCTGAGGCCCTGCAGCCTTCAGGTCTTTCATAAAATCCCTCCGCTCCCTGGAGGGAGGGAGAAAGGGAGCCACAGAGCCAGCCCTGCTGCTGCTCAGGCTGGGGACAGGTGTGGATTTTTTTTTTTTATTAAATTCTTTTATTGGTACATTGTAGGTATACAACACAATTACATTTCTCACTGGGAATTGTACCTTTACATAATGCATCTTGGTTCTTATTTTTTCCCCATTCCTAGCCCTCCCTTCACACCCTCCACCCTTCCCTATTTACAAAGACTTTATTTCCATTTTTTCCATTTCTCAGCATTTTTCCTTTCCTTTCTTTCCTTTCCCCTGCCCCTCCCACTATCCCTACCCCTTTGGACCGTTTCCTGTTTTGCATTATCGATTATTCATTCTAATCATTGGTACATTTTAGGTATACAGTATAATGACATTCATCATTGGAAATTTGCACCTTTACATAGTCTCTCTTGGTTCTTATTTTTCACCCTTGCCCAGCCCTCCCTTCAACCCCTCCAGCCCTCCCTATTTACAAAGATTTTGTTCCTATTTTCCCATTTTCTCTATTCATCCCATTCCCTTCTGTCCTTTCCCCTGGCCCTCCCACTTCCTTCCCCTTTGGGACAGGTGTGGATTGATGAGGTTAGTTGTTTATTTCCGGCCAGAGCTACTTGGAAAGCAAGGATCCTTCAAATAAGACTCTCACCAGCCTTCCCAAAACAAAAAAGTGAAACTGACAAGGACAGGATTTTTCTTCTTTCTCAAAAACTTCTATAATGGAATCGGCATTGTAGTTTAAAAAACAGAAAAAGTTTTGCCTTCTACCAAAAGAGCACCTCTCTTGGATCTGAGCATGGTTTGAACAAACATTAGTCATTATCCTTCCTGTAATTAAAAAAAGAAAAAGTGATAAAAGAAAGCCTTTGTGTTCCCAGCAGTGCTGACTGACTACACAGTTTATTCTGTCATTCACTGAGTGTCTGCCGAGTACCTGCTCTGTGCCAGGCACATGTGAGGCCCTGGAAATACCCTGCTGTCACAGTCAGACCTCTCCCTGCCCTCCAGGCTTAGGCAAACAAATGGGGGAAGTCCTGAATAATTAATGAAATTCAAACTGTAACCACTGGTTCCTGCGCTGTAAGACCTATGAACAGGGAGTGTTTATCCAAGTAGAATAGAAACCTGTCTCTTCGTGAAGATTGTAGGGGATCGCATTAGTCATTAGTCGCTTCCCCGTCACTAGGACAAAATACCTGACACAACTTAAGCAGAGAAAAGGAAGGACCCAGGGACAAAAATAACAACCTTCTAGGTCATACCTCCAGTGACACACTTCTTTGGACCATCCCCACTTTGTAACAACACATTCAGCCATGAACTCAACAATCGATTAATCCACCGATGAGTATAGCACCCCCTGCCATGATCCAGTCACCTTCCAAAAGCCCCATCTCTGAATACATGAGACTGTGGGGGACTTTGTAGATGTAAACTATAATAGGGATATTTGTAATAGCTTTCATCATAGTCACCAAAGACTGGATCCATCAACTGGAGTTGGAGAGAGAAACTAGTCTCTCCGTGCCATGGAATACTACTTAGTAATACAAAAACCAGGCTTCCAAGATGCTATCACAGGGTCAGTCTCAAGTGTGTGATGCTAGGTGAAGAAGTTAGGCTTCAGGGGCTCCATGCAGTGTGACTTCTTTAGGTGATACTCCTGTGGAACAGAAAGCAGATCAGTGGTTATCTGAAGACTGGAGGAATTTGGATGACAGAGAGAAATTCTGAGTGGTGATGAAACTGTTCCATATCTTGGTAGTGGTCATGGTTGCATTTGTCAAAATGCACAAATTTTACATTAAGATGTTCATTTTTATTGTATGCCAATAATGCATTAATTTTTCAAAGAGTCAGGAAAGACATCCCAGGGCATTTCTGCATCAGCTGCCGTCTGAAAGGTGAGCTGGGAATTGAGGAAGTAAAAGTGATAGGGAAAGCATTCCAGGCAGAGGACACAGCAGGTGAGAGCCTAACAAGGCCCAGGGATAAGAGAAGACCGTGCAGAGCCAGGAGTGAGTCAGGAAGAGACTCAGAGTCTTGTGTTTATGTAGGGTGTTTTGTTTGCATGCCAAGAGCCGTGAGGAGCCATTGTAGAATTTTCATGTTGGGAAAGTCACCTGGCCTTGGTATGGAGAATGGGTGGGAGTTGTGTGTGACACGCTACTTAGAAACCCTTACAGATGTTCAGGCAAGAGAGGACCTGCTGGACTTGGGAGGTGCTAGTGGTGGATGTAAGGAGAAGTGGAACGATTTGAGTGATGGAGACAGTAGTAGGATTTGATGATTGGTGGGCTGTGTGGTTGAGGGAAAGGAGGTGTCAAGGATAGCCTCCAGGTCTCTAGGTTTCCAGCCTGCACAATTGGAGGGGCAGTAGAGCCAGGTACTAGCACAGCAGGACTGGTAAAGAACAGACACGTGGCGGGGAGACTTACTCCTTGAATAAGTATTTATCAAACTCCTACTGTGGGCCTTGCTCCAGTACAGGCATGGAGGCCAAGCCCAAAATGAACCCAAATCCTGGAAATGATCAAGCTTATATTCTAACTTGGAGCAGCTAAAATTGAGATAAATCAATAACATCTAGGCAGCGATGGCCTCGAACACTGCCTTGTGTGACGTACGATTCAGTGAGTATGGTGGAGAACATGGGCCAGGGAGGGTGAAGAGAGAGACAGCCAGTGAGAATGGAGCTGCAGTTTCAAATAGAGAAAGCAGGAAAGACTTCAGGTAGAAAATCACAGTGGACCAAAACCTAAGTGTGTCAGCCATATAGTACAGTAAGAGGATGAGCAAGGGTCCTCAGCATGAGACCAGCAGGTTGGAGAAATAGCTCTGCCATTAGTCTCATCAAGACAAGAGGAGCTGCATACGCCCCTCGTGACACTGGCTGCTTGTCTCACATGCAATGACAAAGGTGAAGTAGGAGCCAATCAGAAAACTGACTCAGAAAATTCAAAATTAAAACTTCTTGATGTGACATTGGTGCTCAAAAAGCTTCAGATCTGGAGGTGTTCCGGATTGTGGGTTTGGGGGTTAGGAACGCTCAGCCCGGATCTTGCTCTCCTCAGGTGGTGCCGTGAAAAGCACTGCTCCACAAACTCGGGGGATCAGATAGACAAGTAGTTTACACCTGAGTGTAAATTAACGCACTTCTTTCACCAAGAATGTCTTGCTATGAAAAATACCGGCTAAACTGAACAGCATGCCTGCTGATGTCATAGATTTAAATGAGGACACAAGCTTCCTGTTTCCTTTCACACCCGTCCAGGCTGTTGGCCGAGTGACTGTGGTCATTGGGCCATGCTATGAGGAGCACTGTGCCAAATAATTTTTACACGTGTGCATCAACTCCTCAGCCCTGTGAGATGTGACGCCACTGTTGAGCATGCCTTAGATTCTCAGGGGAAGCGGGTGGTGCATTGAGCTTGGTTGGGCAGACAGCGCCTTGCTCAGTGTCTAGTTCTCTGGTGGTACCTTCAGCCTTCATGGTTAATGAGTTCCCTTGTCTCTTACCTACAGAATAAAATCTTCATCTACCGAGGGAAGGAGTATGAGAGGCGAGAGGACTTCAGCCTGAGGGTGCTGACCCAGTTCCCCAGTGCCGAGAAGATGACCAGTACCACACCCCCTGGAGAAGACATCAAGATGTCCCCAAAGCAGTGCATCCTTGCTGTGGGGAAAGTGGTCCAGCAGCCTTTACCCTGGGGCAGCCCCACTAAGCCAGGGAAACTGAGGGTCCCAAGCCCTTTTCTGCAGGCAGACGTGTCCTGGGTTCTCAGGACTCAGCTTCCCATTCCACGTAAACCCTTTGGGGCCCTAATATCCTTAGGGAAGAAGAGATGAGCAACAAATCTTTAATAAGAAGGGATGCATTTTGTAGCCAGATGGGAATCTTGAGAAAAGAATAGACTTCCTGTTCTGAGTTTGGGATTCTCTCATATATTCTCTTATATTATTCTCATGTAGATTTTGAGACAATTTACAATTATCCCTTGGTATCGTCGGGGGATTTGATTCCAGGACCCCTCAGTCCTCGCCAGAATCTACAGATGCTAAACTCCCTGGTATAAAATGATGTAGTATTTAAATATAACCTACGTATGTCCTCCCTTCTACCTTAAATCTCATCTGTTCATTACAGTAATTAGACTCCCTAACACAGTGCTAATATATGAAGGTGCTTGTTGCACTGCATCATGTAGGGAATCACGACAAGGGGAAAAGTCTGCATGCTTAGTACAAATCCAGTTTTCTGAAGAATAGTTTTGATCCTCAGCTGGTTGGCTCAGATACTGAACCCAAGTATGGAGGACCCACTGTGTCTGTACTTGTGACATGGCAAAGGGAGAAGCTATTTCTAAGACTCATCACTAAATCAGAGAAGGCAGAGTTACCCCTGAGTCCATTCTGAGGCCAGACTTCATTGCTTCCCATTATGTCCTCTTGGGTTTTAACATCTATGATCCTTAGGAGTATTCCTCTGCAAAGGGGGAATAATAATATTCACCTTGCAGAGTTGTTGCATATATTGAGAGATAACAAATTCAAAGTACCCAGTACAGTCCCCAGCAAAGCACTTGATAAACAAATGGTAGTCAAAGATAAAGGCAGTTTCTGTGCCCTAGGTTGTAAAGTCTGGCTGTTCCAGAGGGGAGCTTTTCCAAAAGAAATCATTGTAAACCATTTCTATCCACCTATTTCTCGATATTTCATTGATGCTTATTTTTTGTGTGACAAGATCTGCCAGGTACCTGGCCACAAGAAATGTCCCAGGAGTAATCACTTCCCCAGACATTGAGGTGACGCCTGTGGGAACCCCATTTTCAGGGTGGTAAAGGGACCCATTGGTGCCAGTGCTATTTCCAGCTGTGACTCAGGAGGAGCAGGGAGACTCATGTCACAGCTGCAGGGCTGGGCTCTTCCTTTCCTTAATGAACACCCAGACCTGCAGTGCTTCACTGTGAAGCCCGTGATGAGCCTGCCACCCAGCTACAAGGACAAGCCAGTGCCTGAGCAGATCTTAAAGTAAGTGGTTTGTTTTTTTTTTAAATAAAAAAATGTTTCTCATCTTTTTTGGGGAGTACATCAGAAGCAAAGCTTAAATTCCTTACTGTTTGGAAGTCCTGCAGCCTATTCTATTTTGAGCATAAGATCAGAGCTTGATAATTCAAAAGGATGTGGATTTTGTTTAGACAGTACAGTCAGGATTTCACTCTTACAGGTCAGATCCCTTAGCTATTTCTTACTCCCACTCAAGCATTGCTAGGACTGGCCGGGTCCCAGCGATTGAAGCTGAGTCTCATCTTTTGAGAAGCTAAAGTCCTACTGAGATTGATTGGTTACAAAAATCCAGATATAAATACTTTACCTGTTAGCATTGTGAGCTATGAAATAAACTCATAGATAATGAAAAGTGAGACATCAAATAAAGTGCACACTTGGAGTGGCCAGCATGTCCCCTGCCGGCTGTGAGCTCATGCTGTGGCTGAACCTCAGCACCAGTGGTCTCTGGTGTCGTGGGATCCAGGGCCAGGGGCACCTATTGCAAGAGAAGAAGTGTCCCATGGTTTGTGTCCTTCCACAGCTACTACAGGGCCAATGAAGTGCAGCAGTTCAGCTATTCCCGGCCATTCCGGAAAGGAGAAAAGGATCCAGACAACGAATTTGCTGTGAGTCCACCCCATTCACCTTCTAAAACAAGGTACAGTGGTGCTGGAGGCTCCCACCCCAGCAGTCCACACAGTGGAAATGACGGCACCCTGAGAAGAGGGGCTCCACTGCCGGTCACCTAGCCGGAAACTCAGACCCAGCGCTCACGTGACCTTGGGCAAGTCACACCTCCCTGGGCCTCTGTTTTCCATCTTGAGGATGGGAATGACCAAGTCGATGATGTGAATCAGCCTCAAATGTCCAGAATCCCTACATTTTATGTGGCCCATTCTGTGGGAGGCACGTGGGAAGGATTCTCACACTTAACTGGCCCCCGTGTGGGTAGGGTGGGTTATGGCTTATCCTAGAGCTGACACACATTTTGTTTCCTCCCTGCACCAGAACATGTGGATTGAAAGGACCACGTATACAACAGCCTATACCTTTCCTGGGATTCTCAAGTGGTTCGAAGTCAAACACATTTCAACAGTGAGTCATTTGAAATTGGAACTCAGAAAAAAAAAAGCACTCTGTCTGCAAATATAATAACAGCCTTTGTTAAATTCCTTTTTCAGTTTGCACCACTGGCCAACTTTGTGTTGCAGAAGAGAAATAAAAGGCATGATTGTAGGGCAGGGCTGCTTTGTAAAAGTGATGTTCCAACACCACCCCTAAAGGTTACTCGCAGTCAGTGAGTCTTTTATGGTGGAAGGAGCCCTGTCTCCTCCATGAGCCTGCTAGTGCCCAGAAGCATTTCTGGAATGCCTCTTGGAGTTTCCTGTCTATCTCGGCCTCTCCCGAACCTCTTCTGTTCCTTTACTCTCAGCAAATCACCTCCCCAGTCACCCTCACTCCTCCCTTCACCACTCCCCAAGCTGGCCTTTTATTTTTTAGTATTTATTTAAGCTCTTTCATTTCTAGCCCCCCCTAACTGTGGTCCACTTTCTTGTCCCTGCTTCACCTCCGGTTGATGTCCCTCCCATTGCCCGCCCTGCTCTGGCCTCTCAGGCCCCTTTTCCTCACTGGCTCCCAGTGGGACTCCTATGGAATAGGATTTGATGTCCTAGCCCTCGCAGCCCTTCTGTGGCTCCCTAGTGCCTACGGTACAGAGCCCAGACTCCGTCACATCCTTTGCGACAGACAGACCTTTGTGACTTAGCCTCCCTCCTCCATGAGTCCCCTTCCCTCTCCTACAGAATCTGTTGGAACTAAACTGAGAGTTCCATGCCTTTTCAGTCCTTTGTGATACTGGGTCTTTTTCTCTGCCTGAAATGTTCTCTCGTGGTGGCTGAACCTACAGCTGACTCCCATCAAGAGTCAGGGTCAGCACCACCTTCTCCATGAAGCCATGTCTGGGACACCCAAGCTCCACCAGATGCCCTTCATCTGTGCTCCCGAAACCTGGGCATCTTTCCAGCCTATTGTTTGCAGTGTCTTCAGTCCCCAGTCAGACCAGAAACTGCCCCCAGCCATAAATTACAACTGACCCTCTCTAGACAATATAGTCTAATATTTGCAGTGTGCTTTACCTTACAGTGTAATAGCTGTTACATGTATTCGGGTTATAATAGTAATCTAAAGATGATATAAAGTAAAAGGAGGATGTAGGTAATTAGATGCAAATACCATGCCATTTCCTATCTGGGACTGGAATGTCTGCAGACTTTCTTATTCTCTGGGGCCCTAGACCCAGACAGATAACACAGGGTGATGGGGTGACTGTGTATCTTAATCACCCTGAGGAATGACTGTGTGTCTTGATCACTTTAATAACTATGGTGCATAACACAGCACTTAGCATAGTGAGGCTGCTCAAGAAGTATTTCTTGGACTGGACATGTAGTTCAGTGGCAGAGCACTTGCCTAGTGTGTGCAAGGCCCAGGGTTCCATCCCCAGCAATACAAAAAGGAGAAGGAGGAGTGGGAGGGGGAGGGGAAGAGAAGGGGAAGGGGAAGGGGAAGGAGAAAGTCTGAAGTTTTCTGAGTTCCTCAGCACTAGTGATAAATCATTCTTCAAGCATGGGTATCATTTCTGGATACAGACATTTGGAATGAAGTCTGGAGCAGGTGGCCACATGGCTGATAATGGGTTTTTCTAGAAACCTGGATTCAAAGACATTTCCATAGTAGGAGCTCTCACTGAGTGTGCATTGCATCTGTTTCATTTTCTCATGAAACTCACCCTGCATATTCTAATACCTCCTGTTATTTCTGACTTCTGTAAACTGCAGGATCTATCTATGGTTACTTATGTGTAATGTGAATATAGGGCTTCCAAGATCATTTGCCTTTTTTCACAGAGGTGGCATCAAATTCTTGTCAGGAGACATTTTTGGTGGTGCAGAAGTGTCTCAGATCTGCTCTTCTGCTGTCACTGATCTCAGAGGTGTCTGAGAATGCTTTCCCTAAGAAATAATCCTTGCTGCAGCTCCAGTGTTCTCAGATGTTCTGTAGACACTTTGTTTGGAGGAATAATCAATCAAATCTCCAGTTTTTAAGTCATCGTTCTACTTTCTGAGGAAATTTTAACCGGTGTATTTTTTCTATCAACACCATTGCAGAAAAGTATGGTGCCCTAATAAACATAATCTTCACAAGCAAAACTTCGCTCTCCTACAGCTGGTGGGCATCTGACACCTCTGGAGGGGGATAGGCAAGCTCATCTGAATCTTTGCTGCGGCACTCACAGATATCCTGCTTCCTTGTACTCTGCCCCCCAGGAGGAAATCAGCCCTTTGGAGAACGCCATCGAAACCATGGAGCTGACCAACGAGAAGATCAGCAACTGCGTGCGGCAGCACGCCTGGGACCGCTCCCTTTCGGTGCACCCGCTCTCCATGCTGCTCAACGGCATCGTGGACCCAGCTGTCATGGGGGGATTCTCCAACTATGAAAAGGTGAGTGGGTCCCCGGACCCCATAGGGCATCTCCAGGGCTCCTTCTCTGCCATGATACAGCGGGTGAATTTGTTTCCTACAGCTTCTCTGAGTTTTTCCTCTCCTGTCCATGAAATAGGCAAATGAAATTAGCAAAAATATTCTGCCTGACCTTATATGTCTTGGAGAGCAGCAATAACCCAGCCAAGGATCACCCTCTGCCCTATAAACCATCAGGGAACTCCAGCCCATTTGCTTCGGGTCCATGCACCTGCTCTTTCTGTCCTTTAAGAGCAGACAGCTAGCAGGTGGACCCCGGAATTCAGGATCTTCTGGAAGTGAAGCTCCATCTGCAGGGAAGCCACAGACACGCTATTTAGAATTTGTTTCTAGAAATCTTTGTCCAGGCTTTTTGTGCTGTAGGACAAGTGATGGCCTTGGATCTACAATGAATGAAATTAGTTCAACTAAGTGTTGTATCTGTTATTCTGAAAAGGCAGGAAAGGAGTAGGAGCCACCTTATAATCCCTTGCCTAGGGTTTGGATGTAGCACCATTTGAAATGGAGGTCATACACTCAGTGGTTAAGTACAGTTAAAAGGCAGGATTCATAATTGTTATGGTATATTTGCCAAATATTTCCAGAGTCCTCCTCTTGAATATAAATAAACTTTAGGGGAGGAAATCCCTTCCTGTAGGCTGGAGAGAGCGTGGAAAGAGAAGGTGTTGGGGAGGTGACAGTGATACATGGCTAGTACTCTTGCCTCCCTTAGTATGTGATATCCCGAACGAGCAGGGGCTTGGTGGCCCTTCACTCTTATGAATTTTCACTCGCCACTGTGTGCTCTCAGATGACATCTTCACCCTTCTGAGCTCCAGGGACCTGCAAATGAGGAAAATACCCACCTCACAGGACTAATGAACGTTCACATAGTCAGTTATTGACCAAGTCTTCATTGTGCAGTGCATGCCTGCATAAAGGATCTCATGCCAGGCATGGGGTGTGGTGGGCTTCATTAGTGGCAGTTTCCTTCCCGCCTCCCCTGTCCACTGGGAGCAGAATTGGGTGCTCTTCATGAGTGATGCCACCATGCTCTGTGGCTGCTGCTATAGGAGCAATCTTTCTTCTCTCTTTTCTTAAACTTTTTAGCCTTCTTTAGTCTTACGGTATTCAGCAGCTGGGAAAGACTCAGCACCAAAGACAAATTCTAGTTTGCTCATTTTCAATTTCAGTAACAATTTTCAGTGTTATAATGGATATCAGTACAGAAATAGAGTTCAAAATACATTGCTTTTTAAATACCATAGTGCTTTGAGTATGTATTTTTTTCTGATATAAGTTTTAATGTATTTTTCCAAGTATTAACTGCTTATAGAATGCCCCTAAACCATAAATTCTTATGTGCAAATATCTGTAAATAATTTCATAAGAAGTTTTTTCAACCTGACAATCTTCTACTTTAAAAAAAAAGTAGGTGGGTTATACTGGTACATGCCTGTAATTCCAGCAGTCTGGGAGGCCAAATCATGAAGATAAAGAGTTGGACCCCAACCCGGGTAACTTAGCAATTTAGTGAGACCCTGTCTCAAAATAAAAAAATAGTAGGAAAGGGCTGGGGAAATAGCTTATTGTGAGGGCCCTGGATCGAAGTCCCAGTACCAAAGTGTGAGGGGGAGGCAAAGAGAGAGAGATCCTTCCTCCCATCCATCCATCCATCCACCCATCCTTCCATCCATCTTTGCATCCTTCCATCCATCCATCCTTCCATCCATGCATCCTTCCATCCATCCATCCATCCTTCTGTCCATGGATCCTTCCATCCATCCATCCTTCCATCCATCCTTGCATCCTTCCATCCATCCATCCTTCCATCCATCCATCCTTCCATCCATCCATCCATCCTTCTATCCATGCATCCTTCCATCTGTCCATCCTTTCATCCATCCATCCTTGCATCCTTCCATCCTTGCATCCTTCCATCCATCCATCCATTCATCCTTCCATCCATCCATCCATCCTTCCATCCATGCATCCTTCCATCCATCCATCCATCCTTCCATCCATGCATCCATCCATCCATCCTTCCAT